GAGCAATTGTCTCCGCCGTGATAGACGTGATGGGAATAGCTTCGGGCCATCTTGTAAAACGGTCAATGCACGTGAGTATGTGATCATACCCATGCGATGGTGGCAATGGTCCTACAATGTCTATATGAACGTGATCAAAGCGAGCATCAGGCGTAGCGAACGTGCCAATGGGGGCAGCTACGTGCCTGTGCACTTTTGATCGTTGACACTGTAAGCATTGCTTTACCCACATACGAACATCTTTATTCATGGACGGCCAGACGTATCGTGCAGCGATGAGACGTAATGTGGCTGCGATACCTGGATGAGACAATCCATGAAGGGCATCGAAGACGAGACGGCGATAGGTAGAGGGTACGATGGGTCGAGGTAGACCGGTAGAAATATCACATAGGATAGTACCTGAGCTAGTAGCTAGGGGTACTTCCTGACACTGAAGGGACGAAGATTGTGGTGCTTCTGTACAGACAGGATCGTTTGCTTGCGCGGCGGCCATAGCAGGAAGATCGAGCACCGGTAAAGTAACTGCATTCGTCTGGATACGTGAAAGAGCATCGGCAACATAGTTCGACTCGCCTTTAATGTGACGAAGGTCTGTCGTGAACTGTGAGATATAGTCGAAATGTCTGCACTCTCGTGGTGAGTAGCGGTCAGACTTGGTATGCAGGGCATACGTTAAGGGCTTATGGTCGGTGAATAAGATGAATTGACGTCCTTCTACTGCGTGCCGGAAATGTTTGATGGCGCAGTAGGCTGCAAGCAGTTCGCGACCAAAAGCGCTATATCTCGTCTCCGTGGGAGTAAGGCGTCGTGAGAAAAATTCGAGCGGTTGCCAACTACCGGAGATATTCTGTTGCATAACGGCTCCTATGGCGAAATCCGATGCATCAACCGCTATACTAAGCGTGGCTGATGGGTCAGGATGAGCGAGGAGTGTAACTTCAGCGAGAGCCGTTTTGATCTCTGAGAATGCAGTACGTGCGGTATCGTTCAGTTCTAATTTGCGTGGATTACCGCGTAGTAAATCGGTTAATGGTCGTAACCGTTCTGCCGCGTGAGGGATAAAACGTCGGTAGAAGTTAACCAAACCGAGAAAAGCCTTCAGTTCCTTGATTGAGGACGGCACGTTGTACTCCTTGATTGCTCGAACTTTGTCCTCGCAAGGCAGAATACCCTCTTGTCTGATGATGTGACCCAGAAATATTATTTCTGATTTACCCAACTCACATTTCTCTGGGTTGACTACTATTCCATTATCCGAAAGACGTTGGAATAATAGCGTAAGGTGTTGATAATGTTCATCTACGTTTGATGATGCGATCAGCAGGTCATCAATATAGACGTGAACAAAATCCAAGTCTCGTACTATGCTATCGATAAACCTTTGAAAAGTTTGAGCAGCATTTCGTAATCCAAATGGCATTCGTAGGAACTCAAACAGGCCGAAAGGAGTCGTGATAGCAGTTTTCTCGATGTCTTCAAGAGCGACTGGGATCTGGTGATATGCTCGTACCAGATCGATTTTAGAAAAGATAGTCGTGCCCTTGAGCGATGCCGTGATGTCGTGTATGTGGGGGATGGGGTAACTATCAAAGCGCGTAACTACGTTTAATGCTCGGTAGTCGCCGCATGGTCTCCAACTAACCCCATCCTTTTTGCGCACCATATGTAAAGGAGAGGCCCAAGGACTGTGAGAAGGACGAATAATACCAGAAGATAGTAAATTGTCAAACTCACGTTTAGCGAAAGCTAATTTGTCCGGTGCCAGTCGGCGTGGTCTTGCCGTGACTGGTGGTCCGCGGGTGACTATGTGGTGTACCACAGGATTGGCCACCGATGAAATCTCCTCGAGTGGTTTAGTTAATCTGGGGAATTTCTCGAATAAGGCGTGGAATTTATCGTCACGCGAATAAAAAGTTCCGGGGATTCGGTACGCGTTTGTGTGAGCTTTAAAGCCCATGAATTAGCTGTTCGACGAAGTATCGATTAGCTGCAGCCTACGTGAATCGACTAGCAATTCATAGTGCTGTAGGAAATCAATACCTAGTATGGCTGTGGGAACATCAGCAATGATGAACGTCCACAGATACCGTCGTCGGTTGCCCAGGTTGACCGCGAGTTGTCGTGTACCGTAGGTAGGAATGGCTGAGCCATTTGCAGCGCGTAGTCGAAGCATTGTAGCTTGTGACTTGATGATACCTCGTGGTACGACAGAAACTTGGGCACCTGTATCCACTAGGTACCTAGCGTTTGTGCGATAATCGTGCACGTAAAATAAACGGCCAACCTGGGGGGCAGGGCCGGCGAGTACGGCCGCTTTTACTCGCCGGCTTTGGAGTTTCCCGCCTTGTATGAGCACGGGGCTCGACAACGGCGGGCACCAGATCCGAAGGATCGATGAAACCAGCACCAACCTGCACTCGCTTCCGAAACCGCCTTTTGGCGTGGCTTGGAAGATGCCCTCGTTGGGCGAGTGTTGACGGCTTTTCGAGAGCGTGAGCGGACTCGAGGGACGTAGGGTTGGGGTACGTTACAACGGTCTCGAAAACTAAGACGTGTGTGAATACACCCTTCCCTGTCACCTTGAGCCGAGGAGTGGCTGCCGTCGATATCGACTTTCGGACGCGACGTTGAGGCAACTACGTAGTTGTCTCGATTGCCAGTCCTAGCTAGAATTTTGTCTGCTGTGAGGGCTACCTGTTTCAGTGGTGCGTCCTCGAGCAGGGCCGTAACTGTAGGTTGGATAAATGCTGGTAGAGATTCGAGCCACAGTTCTTTAACAATTTCAGAATCGGCTGCCGTGGGTCCTGCAAGAGATTGCAGGCGCGTGAGGTGGTGGCTCGGTTTAGCATCACCCAGGGGGTGACGTGCTAATAACGTCCTCAATCGTTCCTCCCTCGATGGGAGGAAATATCTGAGGATCGCCTCCTTGAGACGATCGTAAACATTGGGCACATTGGAGTTGAGGACAATCTCACGGACAGCTACTAAATGGTCTCCCGGTAAACATTCGAGAGCGTAAGTGTACTTCTGCCGTTGGCTTGTAATATGACGGGTCTCAAATTGAGACTCTATAGCAGCAAACCAAACTTCGGGATCGTGGGGAATAAAAGAAAGAGGTCGAAAGTGTATAACCTGTACGTCAGAGTCTATTACGTTAATACTATTCTTATCGTTATCCGTCATGTCAAATATATATATTAAAAATTAATATGAAAATATATGACAGACGTGGATAGATAAGCGATAGACTCACCAAAATTGACTTCTTTGGAAGGTTTGGTTGCGATTGCCAAGTGGTCGTAGATGTAGGTTCACCAGTTGCAGAAGATTTGACCGAAGTTGAGGCGTGTTCCAAAATTCGGCTCACCAAATGTAGCGTGGTGTCGAGTTGAGCTGAACTATGAACACCGCTACCAGACTACTTGCCAATAGACCAATAAAATTCCGATAGGCCAAAATATCAGAAGGCAGATGATTGTAGTAGTCGTATATATTTGTTGGCGATCTCGTGGTATCGAAAGAATACCGAGATCGTGCCAAAGGAGTACAAGCGTGGTTACTGAGCGTAACCGGATTCGTACAAGTTCGAAGTCAACGGGAGAGTAAGTATAATGGCTGTTATTAGCACAGTTAAACAAACGAGCACAGTAAAACAGTCACTGGTACAATTGGTTATAATAATAATTGTTTTCATCGAACCAATCGTGTTCTGTTGACAAAAGTAGGTCACTACACTGTAATGACCAAACTTTTATTATTTGATCTGAAGTAAAGTTTAAAGTGTCCTTCTGTACGGTGTGTGGGGCTCTGAAGACCGTAAAACACAAAGGATAGTATTACAAAAGTATATAAGTTAAACAGGTACAAACGAAAGTGTAACAACCACTTCGTTGGCAAATTTATGGTATGAGATTAACTGATGAGTGTTGGTTGTTCGCAACATTGACGGGGATGGGTGAATCGCTCGAACTTCAGAGATCCGAATGATGGGTGATTTGGCTAGGACTCAGCGATATTTCAGTGGTCCCACAACCTGCATAATCCAAGTATACCAACCCAGTTAAATCACAAGTCAGAAATGTAGGTATACTCGGAAAGCTATCGTTATGTGGAGAAACATTTAATCTAAGCTGGTTAATGGGTGCAAGGAATGAGTAGCATAGCATTCCCGCTTGAGATCTGGTGTTCATATGTGATCGAGTACCTTCAGCTGGGTGTGTTCAGCGAAGCTTATGAGACTTACAGAACTATTAATCTTGGGGATGTATTTACCGCTACGATGGTGATTGAAAATTGTTTCTATATTGTTGAGGATAAATAGTGAGTGGGTTGTTAAAGGTTTCCTCAGTCTAAATTTAAGGGAAACATGTATTTTGATGTGTGTGAACAAGTTTAAATTTCAGCAAAACAAATACTTATTATATTAAACTTTGTATGTATCACTGTGAATTGACCTAAAGTATATTGGACCAATCGCAATATAGTCTTTGTGATCAATTTTGTTTCTCAGTTTATTTCCGAAGGTCGTGTGCTTTTTGTAAGTTCAGTGGTTTGACTGTATATTCGTTACTGAATTTTGATAGTTACATCATCATCTTTCTATACTAAAATTTAAGTGCATATGTCAGCCGTCAACTGTTTTTATCGTAATGGTGTTATGCTACATACCACTTGGCTTGACTAACTTGACCATACAATTCCCCAAATGTAAAACTAAAAGCAGACATCTACTGATTTTGAAAACAGGTTAGATTTGGCGTATCTTTCATAACAACCGAGAAAACATAACCACATAATACGAACTCAATACATACACTATATAGTACCTCATAATACAAATTAGAATTATAATTCTAATTTGTATACTCGATTTGTTGCATATATGTTCTGCGTCTTTTGTAGAGCATGGATAATTTTAGGATTGTTTTCTACGGAAACAACGACATGTTCATTTTGGGACTCAATTAACTTTCCTGTAAAAATTCCATTATCTTTTTTGTGAATCTACAACACCTATCTTTTCAGCTCGTTTTAATTTTTCTTTGTTTACTGTCAGTTCCAATTCTACGTTATGGACATAAGCTCCTTACCGTCAGACATCAGGCCAACCAGTACAGTTGTTTCTACAAATGAATTTAGTGATGGAGGTCAGGTGATTAAAAATATTAATTTTGGAGATACAGCCGTTTCCGTATGTTCTATAAAGACTGAAAACGAAAGTACGTGACTTTTATTTCGCTTTTGTTTATTGCTTTTATATCCACGTTTAAAGTGACATATCTTGACTGTAAACAGTGATTCCCAATGTTGATGTTCAAAACCCGTTCTTATCTGGTTCTTTACAAAATTTACAAATATGAGTTTTCAAAAATGTAACATGTATGAGTGGAGAAAACGTAATCGTCTCTCTTGATGCCAGTTTACGAAGATCAAAGTTACAAAAGTGACCAATATTTTGTTAAGAGTTGATACTACCTAATATTTACTTAGGAGAACTAGCGTTTGCACATATATATCTTATTTATTCACTTTCATTCGCAAATTTTGGACTTCATTATTACGGTTTACAAGGTTTCGTAGGCTATAAATTGCTGTCATCTAAAAAGTGTTGCTGGTATTCGGAAAAACAAGATTCACAATCAAATCAATATTGACAGTTGTTTGATTTAATGACAAGACAGTCGTTTCAAGTACTCTTTTCATCAAGCCTAATGCAAGATTTCATTAATAACACCCTAGTAGACGACCTAATTTCAAGTCATTTCTTGTCCTCCCAGGAGGAGTCAATTTGAACTTCTCCTGAGGCTTGAAATGGTGGTTTAGTATAAGACTGATAACTTTACAACTGAACCTCAGAAAACAAAATTCATGAATAGTCATCTTCCTGAGACGTGAATCTTTCCCGTTATGTAGATGTATTTTACTAGGCTTTTTTGTGCTACAAATCACATGTAAAATTAGCTTCGTTTACTTAATTAAGGATTGTTTAATAAAATCCAAACTCATAGCTGGTTGCTAGAAACAAAGTATTTAGAACCCATGAGTAACTAAGACAAGTCTCCGATCCAACTGTCTAGCCTTTAAGGAAAAAAATCAGCTTTAGTCAAGATGGGATTTGGTTATCAATATAACATGGAGTCTGACTCAATCTACAATAAACATTGAATGAATTCTGACTAACTTATTGTGGCTACAAATCCTACATACCCGTACGTTATTCTTGACAAAAAGATAAATATATCTTCGCAACTGTTTATTTGAGACTATGTAGTTAATTTTTTGATCAAAAGTGACTATTATTACTATACTAAACATAAAGTTACCTTACAGACCCACAGTTTCATGTGCGATTGTAAAGTATTCTAAATGAACTTCGTGAAAACGATTTTCTGTTGGACTAATTGTTTTGTAACTTGATGGGTATATTATATTTTGATGGGAATATTCAGTTAAGGTATTGTTTTCAAATTTGTTTGGGAAGCTACTTGATCGCTCTTCAATTAAATCTCAGCATTGGATGGAACACCCTAAATATTTGCATGAAATATAACTGAATACAGATAGACTATTGTCATAAGTATTCTTGGGATCGTAACCTGAAATATAAGCCATTAGCAAGCATTTGGGTCATGACATAAATTTCTAAGATAAAAGGGACAATATTTGACAGGTTGCGTTAAAAATAATTTATCTGTTTATTTGTAGTCATGACTTTACTAATAGATTTCCCGCACCTAATCCTGCCCACCATAAGACATCATGGTGCACGGTGATCAGGCATGCACAATACATCTCAATCACTTAAAGGGGTGGAATATCACAGCCCCATGGTGATACATGCTCTGTTCGCTTATATATTTACATAAATTCGAGTACTTCAGCTAAAATTTACAACCCACGTCCTTTATCTCATTCGTTATTCCCTTTTTTCCATTTGTAATTCATAAGTCCTTCTTTCGCTAAAATTATTCTTTCTCTTATACATAATTCGTGGTGTGATTGACTACTTTCCACTTCTTACGAACGACCCAGACTTCACGAAATATAACCATAGTCACTTAGTCCTTTATGTTCCTACTATACGGAGCTCTTTAAGTAATTATTTTTCATTGTTTTATGTACTTTACCTGTTCATTGACCCTTGTTTCAGTATGTAGATCACTTCGGGTTTCTTGTGTTTGATGAATTCTTTGATAGGAAAGGATATAACTAAAGGCTATCAATATATTAATCTCACTGTATTTAAAGTTCCGTATTTATTACATTCGGGACCCATTTTGTAGCCTTGAGAACGCATTAGGAACGTTCTTGTTTCGAATTTTGTTTCAATTTAGTATCGTTTTATTATACTGGTGTTCAGGATATCAATAAGTTTCCATTAGTCCGGACGTAATTGACATTCATCAACCAACTAACGGTTATCATGTAGTACCCTAAAATGAACCTCAGTATCACTCACCATAAGCGTTATTTTCCACTAAACGGAACTATGACATCTGAATACTCAAAGTTGGTTAGAATGTTTCCAGGTAGGTCAATCATGATGAAAGGGTCATATCTATGAGTATCTATCTATGACAAAATCAGGTAAAAAATAATGAAAGTAACTCTAATAAAATCTTTGTTGAGTAGACAGCTCACATTATATCTCAGTTTGTCATGAACAATAAGGAATCCAGCGCGAATGTGTATCGAGTTAAATCTTCTCATCCCACCAACGTAGAAAAAAATAACAATATCCAAAACACAGTAGTAGAATGATAGTATTGATAATAGTAATAAGCTAAACATAGAAAATATGGTTCTAAAAGGTTGAAAAAGGTAGAGGAATAAAGAGTATGAAGTTATGTTTGAGTTCAATAACTAAAATAAAGTGGTCAATGAATGTATGAATTCACCACAACTGGTTGTCAGCTGCGTCACTAAAGTTATGCATCCACTAAATATAATTATCGTGTAGGCTCTGATCAAGTAGTTAACACCCACCAAAATATCTTAAAGCTATAGCCAATGACTTCATGAACTGATGAAATGTCTCGGTTTAGCTGCTGTTAGCTATCTTCAAACATCCCAATTCTAATATATTTTAATTACTGAGTCAGGGGCGGCGGCCTTAGATGCACACTACATACCACAGTCACTTCAGTCGATAAAGAATAATTGTAGTCATCAATCATTTAGTTAGTGACTGTACAACCATCGGTGGTGTTTGCCTTCGTTTTGGACCGCATAGAAAAATCACCTGTTAGGACTAACCTAGAATAACCAACATAGTCTTGACTATACTCACAGAATTAATTTTTATCTAAAACTTTTATATCGAGTTGTTTATCCATTGAATCGCATTATAGGTGGATAAAACCAATCAATTCCATAAACGATTTATAGTTTGTTTTATTCATTTCCCTAGTTAGTTTTACCAGACAAAAGTCATGTGATTATTTCTAGGCCATTTCTGACTGCTTGATGGCCGAATTTTAAGCGTGACAATGGTAATGATATTTGTATTGTACGTAACATAATAAAATAAAGCGATATTCATTAATCTAGGGGTTTTATGGCTAGTATTTATATCACATGATTTTCAGCATTTTATTGTCCAATCGTAATATCGAAAAGCAGACAAATTACAAATGGTTAACCAATTAAATTATTCTATTCAATGGATTTTTTTTGTAATCTAAGTGAAAGGTAAAATTCGAGATGAAAGATGTTACTACAGATTACCGTAATAGTGCACTCGGACTAATTTAATATGACTTGGTTATCATTCGACTGATACACCAGTTAAGCTATTTCTTACGGATATTTGCTATGGTCAGAGTATGTTTTACTTGTTTTGTCTATTTTGTTCTAGTTAATCGATCAGTATATCAAGAGCAACTCACATATTTATTTTATTTACGTGTATATTCCCATTTTTATTGTCATATATCCCTTGAATACGATGACTGTAAATTTAATACAACCTCTATAGCTTGATAGAAATATAATGAAATATATGAACTAATCGTTGGTCACCGGCTACCATGGGACTGCATCTCCTCACGATGCTCCACTGCCTTGTGGATCAGATCTTCAGGTCAAAGGCTCGGGGTGTGGCCCCCTAAGAAAACCACCTGCTTCGGTTTGGGCACCCGGGCAGTATCACAGCCCTCACACATATCAAATGAGATATGTATGGCGCATATGTATTTGGTGCCTTCTTGTACCGATATCTATGTGTTAAAATAAAATAAAAAAATAATAATCACAAGATTCTCGTCAATGTTGCTCTGATCTGCTACCACCTATTCATCTACATAAATAAAAGTCGACCGTTTATGGATTTATTTTTGCAAAGCTAATATGACAAATAACCGAAAATTTCTGTAATATTAACTCAGAACGTTTACTCTATTAATATAAGCTATCTATTGAATTTTATGCTTATTAAAATTTATTCGTTGGGGGATGTGAATATTGTGAAAATTTGTTCGTCTTTTTTTTGTTTATTTCGATTGTGAATACAGTTATTTCTGCTTTTCCATGATTTTTAGACTCTCCACTCTGTAAAGACAATGTCTGTTTTGCCGATACAAGTCCTAAGTCAGTACTAAATGCTCCAACTATATCTACATGTTATGATGACAACAACAACGATTCTTTGTGCCTAATACAATCGGCATCTAGATTAAATTTAACTCCACATACAGATCAGTCACCCTCTCACTGGCGAAGACTAAAAAAGCGTACTTCAGACATACTTTTAATGCAAAACAAGAATCCAACAACTCCAAGCACTATCGAATCTCAAATCTCTTCTTCCTCTATAGCTACTTGTAATTCTGAAATTAGTTCATTTTTTCCAACTATTACAAATGCTGTCAGCACTTGCTGCATTAGTGGTTATAACAATGTAGAGATGTCAAATTCTGATACGGAGTTGAACAAAAATTGCTTGTACCAAAGTTTTCCACCTTCAACTTCCGCTATTATCCCGTTGGCTAATGCATCTCTTTTGTTAGATCCCGGAAAATTCTATCCACCCAATTCTAAGTGGATTTCACCCGGTGCAAGTGGGTCTTCGATCGCAGCTGCATTGACAGCTGTAAATATGCAACAGAGATTTAAGAAAGTAAGCCAGAATTTTCCATCACAAATAACTTTTAAGTTTTAATAGTTTGGTTGTTTGATAGTAGCTTGCTAGATGAAGATACTCGCTGTCAGTTCTGCACACTTAGACTGATACACAACGTTTTTTAGGTCTTCCGTCCCTGACTGACTTTTACCCATCTTACTGTTAGTTTAAAACTCCTCTCACCTTTGATTCGGTAACACTGTATTAACTATAGGATTAAAGAAAAGTGTAACCCGTGCTTAGTTACTGTGTTGACTTATATAAAATTTACTTATCAACGAATAATAACCTTTAATAATAATAGTATCTTTCCAAACCATCACTTTTATTACTGTCGCTTTTTGCCTTTTTGAAAACAAATTGTCTGTAGAAAGTGTGATGATACTTTTGATTAATTAGCTACTGGAATACGACCAAACTTGAACGATTATTTAGCTAATGGTTGGTCGTTTACAAGTTGTATCGACGTGTGCACAGATTTCTCTTGATAAGAAGCTTCCATTTTTCCATGAAACCATCATTTTATGTTTTACTGAGACTGGTTAAGTTCAAGATCATGTTTTTTCTTTCCACCAAGCATTTTCATGTTACTATAACTATTCCAGATCAACAATCATCAAATTTTTTTGACATTCAGTCTACCTTCAATTTACTGGACAGTACAATGATCTAGATTAAATAATGCGTCTGAAAGTTTTGTTTATATTCCAAAAAGCTCTATATACGAACTCTTTAGGGTAAAGCACGGACACACTACCACTTCATTTCATTGTTTGAAATTAGCTGTGGTGTTAAGTAGGGTTGCCAAATATAATCATTGTTCTCCAATTTTACCATCACTGTCGTTTTGAAAATTCCTTGGTGCTCCATTGTACCGAACATTTTCCCCATCGAATTTTTGGTCAAGGAAAACTATAATTGTTGAACTCCGATAAGCATACATGTGTTCTAAAACCTCACAAATGGTGAATATGTGGTCGATATAGCCACGACCAGGTCTGAAACAAGCCTGCTTTTCTCGGGTTTGCATTTCACGAGTCTTAGTTAGGCGTCCGATAATTATTGAGGCTAGTATTTTAAATGTTTTATTAGTCAAACTAATCCCTCTATGATTATCAAAGGATGATTTTAATCGTTTCTTATATATTGGGACAACCAGTGATTGCGACCAGTCAGATGGGATTACGTCCACCTCCCAAATTTTAGCTAACATATTAGTCAACCTAATCGCTAATATAGGACCACCATCCTTAAAGACCTCTGAAGCCAATCCATTTGGACCAGCTGCTCCTCCTCGTTTCAGATTAACTATATCCTTTTGAACTTCAGCTAGAGTAGGGGGACCTACTTCAATGTTCCATTCACTCTGTTTGTGAATGATGGGTAGTTGTGTAGTAGCTGAAGGGAAGCCGAACTGCTCCTTAAAATGTTTGGACTGGGAGCAGATAAGAGTGTAGTCTTTTTCCGAGATAGTCTCACTCAGACTTGACTTATTAATTTCAGTTTCTTTTATTAGTCTGTAGAGCTGTCTTTTGTTACCTACAGTCGCCACCTTTTCCATCTCTTTGGCTTTCGTTGCCCACCACTTCTCACGGTCGTTCCTTAGACTTTTGCCTAACCTAGATCTGATTTGTTTTTGCTCTTCATCGTGTTCCCAGATTTTAGCTAAAATATTGGCAGGAACGACGAAAAGGCAATGACGTGTGTCCTTCCGAGTTTTTACAGAGCCGTTTTACCGATCAGTACATTGGCGACTGTTAACGGGGGTCCATTCTAATAGTGCTTGTTATGCCCTCGTACTTAGTGCTATGCCTACACCTGCCAGTCCACCAGAACTAGCCATCGGGTCGCCAGATACACGAAGGGTGTATCTCGTTGGCTCTCCGTTTTGGCGAGGTGAGGTCAAGTGAATGACAACACTAGGATCTTGTATGCGTGTTTCGAAGACACAGCATACATCAATAGTACGAGATTCTAGGGTTTTGGCCAAGGAGGCCTGCTGACCTATTTGACATAGGGTGCTTACGTTGAAGGCTCAAATGTTTAGTTTGGAGCGAGGTTTTAGTAGACTTGAGACAGTGTTTCGCTCACTAGAATCGTTGATCGTGGTGACACTTGAGAGGAAGTCAAACGAGGAAGCTTAGAGTCGAAAGTTGACGTGGGAGGAATAATAGGAACTGATTGGTTCATTACGATAGGCAAGCCCGACCACCACATCAAGGTAGCAGCAACGATCGGGGAATAATTTCCTTTCCATTTTGTCATACTCTTTCGATGTGCTTTAACATTTCAACTAGGCTATAAGGCTAAGTTTGATTTCAAGAAACATTAAACAGAATGCTTATTAACGAAGTTGACTTATAAGCAATGTGTTTCATGGTTCGGCTCCTCACACACACTTGATATTATTACTAGCCATAATGCAAGTAAAGTGTAGTTCAAAGCTGACCACACAATTGTGTCACTAGATAGAATGAGTTGTATGAGGGCTAATATATCAGTTGAAACACCTGATAACTTTTAAAATAAGTAGTATTAGTCTTTAGTTCGTAGTCTACTTTGAAACGAGTTAGAATTATAAGCAGAGATGGATAGCTATTAGCTGTGGAATCCATGACCCTCATTCCTTCTTATGTAGGACTTATCAGCTAGATGTCCTTGAATCCCTGGTTGGTGTTCACTCCGGGGTTCGAACCCTGTATTGTATAGTTCGATTGGTTCATCACAATATGCAAGCCCGACCACCACGTCATGGTAACAACAATGGTCGGGCAATTGATGGGATTCCGGGACACTTACATTCATAACCAAGTCTTCACCGGTGATTTTTACAGGATTTCTTTATTTTGTTGATGATCAGCGCAAGTAAATGATAAACAATCCATTGGACTAAATAGCAGTCGATAATACATAAAACAAAATACACTTCGTAAAAGTCAATAGGAAAAATTAAACCATTTACTAATACGATTAATTTTTTATTGATTACATTCACCTAATCAGATAAAAGTTAATTCTGAGTAAATTAAATGGAAACTAAGTGATAATAATAAATGCTATCTAATAATATTTAACAATAATCATCATAAATTGAATAAGTTGTATTTGGTCTACTATCGATAACTTCCTTCATCTTGTCTATTTCTAACTTGTGCAATTTTAAGGGAGACGTAGTCAAGACACCTAATGGTGTAAGGAAAAAATTCAATGGAAAACAATGGCGCCGTTTATGTAGTCGCGAGGGTTGTACCAAAGAATCTCAACGACGTGGGTTTTGTTCACGTCATCTTTCAATGAAAGTAAGACTTTCTTTCATAAATGCGTACATACATAACATTACCTGTGCTGCTTGAGAAATTTCCATTTCTGGTTTTAATGTGCCGGTGGAAATAAACAAATTTTTTTGTTTAGTTATTTGGCGCCCGTGCGATTTGACTGTAAGACATGACAGCGGTCGTATTGATCTAGTCCGAGCATTAATTAGGTCGCCTAGATTGCCTATCTAATTAGTACCAATGACCTTTGGCTAATCAATGGCACGATAAATGTAAGATAACAGTCGAGAATAACACTAATGACTATTGGTCCATAATGCAGTTACCGACGCTCGCTTGGTCACCCGAGTACCAGAATCGAAAACAACTTAGTAAGCGGATAGCGTCTAATTATACAGTTCGGATTTATGAATCACTCATACGATTATCTAGAGCAAAATCTTGACCACATATCAACAGACTCAAGAAATTACAATATTGGTTGAGTGATAGGTCTGTAATAAAATAATAATTTGGAAAAGGTAAAATATTCGACAATAGTTTATGCATCAAACGAAAGCTTACAAGTTGAGGAATACAAAAATATAATAGTCTAAGTGCTTAATAAAATTATACAACATAAATATGAACAATAAATTCAGATAAGGCTGTTCTGAAATTTCAATCGCTTAATATTTTTCCTGACATGGCAGGTTTACATAAATTTGTCGTTTTAGATTAATGAAATAGCCGTCAGTGTTAAGTGCCGAGTTTTACAATTCACCCAATTTAGTTGGGAATCGCATACATTTGCACTATATGCTACTATTATTTTTCTACTTAGATCTTTTATTGACTGACATTAGTAAATCCAGAATTCCGCTGCTGTATAACCAATACTAGGACCAAAAATTCATCTGAATTAAAAAGCCGTACGACGTAAACGTGTTGCATCAAAAAAGCAACGGAACTGACGATACGTTTGATTTACTTTTAGGTTATTTTAAACTAATGATGAATATTTCATTCCTAAATACCGATCCTTTAGAAGAATGTTATATATATATATATATATATATATATAATATTTAGTCTTCATCTACAAATTTATCCTAACTTTAGGGGAAGGAAATGCGTGTAATGGGATATGCCGCTGCTGTAGCGGCTTTGAATTCTTCCGAATCGAAATACAGCACATCAGGTATCCCTAGAGAACATGGATCAAACCGTAATAAGACGAATTCATTCACATCTACCAGATTATTATCTTCATCAACACCATCACTACTTCTCACTCCTTCCATTTTTGCGCCCTACAAACTAACTCCTTTTCTGTCAACGAGTAAGTCAGCATCTATAACAACTGAGATGGGTTCCTCTACGAGTGCAACACAAACGGTCATATCTTCTACAACTACGGCACTGCTGACGACGACAACGACGACCATTTCACAACAATCAGTGTTCTCGCTTCCACTGACTTCAATTCATTTTAATGATCGCTATGATTCAAGCATTATACCTGCCACTGTTGGTGCACAAGTTACTTCAATGCCTATTCCAAGTAAGCTTCATAAAACCTTTTAGCTAACTTTTTACTATTTCACTGTTCAGTAATTTCTTCATGATTCTCTTATATTTATATGGTACATTTTTCATACTAAACATGACTACGAAAAATGCTACAGTCAACGATATTCAATCATTGAAAGTAACCCAATAATCCACACCTTATTATTTGATTAATTTTTGTAATATAACCCGTTCATCATTCAGTAAAGCCACTGACTTGTTGTTTCATCTTCAAATTTGTTAACAGTACAGGTTGGCGGTTCCTATTAGAGCTGATGAAATCATTCCAAACATGGAGTGATAGTCAGCTCATAGATAAGTATAACTAGATAATGACATACTGTTATTATATAAGATTATTAACTGTATGTCTAAGCCATGTGGAGCCAGTCGGTTTAGATAATGAGATTGTTAGTAACCAATGACTCCAGAGTAATAACAACTTTAAATCTATAGATTCACTCATTATTTGTGTTACTCCACATCTTGATACCTTTGTAGTCGAATTCCCCACTTTTGTCTTGTATCCTGTCCATCTTTCTGTATCCTTACAAAGTACAAACTCTATATTATTAACTTTACTTCTTACCTTGCATATCTCGCTATAAACACTTAAGAATGTTAACGATTTAGCTACTTGAATTCATTGCTTTCATGAACTAGTGATTAATATTTTATATTTTCAGTACCAGTTGGGTGTTTTTAATTATCAAAGTTTCAAAAAAGTTTATACAATATACTCCGAATTTCACTTTTAGATCCTTCATTCGCACCATTACTATTTAATACTTCCGTTGGACAAATGTCTCCAATTTCTACTCCTCTTGCTTTACTTCCTATTCTCACGGATAGTATTTCTGTAGGGGAACCCTCTTTAAGAAAACAAGATGCACCAAGATTTAATCCAAATAATTCATCGGACTTTTGGAATAATCCAACTACAACTGAGAACGAAAATAGTAATTTTAACAAAGGTCACAGCAGCAGTAATCAGTACTGTGATAATAGTCACAAAAGTCCTGGTCATCGTGAATCAGACAGTGACCAATGTTCAACACCTTTATTAAGTCAAGTCTGCAATCTTGTAGATATTGAAAAGTCTGGTCAATCCGCTGAAACAGGTTAGTCTGTGAAACGATTTGATTTTGTGATTTCCTATCATTAATTTGTAAGAGCGAATCTTTATATCCGTGTTTTCTGTACAAATTTCTTTCACGAATGCTGAGATACTTCAAATACGATATCAAATTACAAGTAAATTCAATAGAGAAGCATTACATACAAAGAACATGTACACATCAGATATCACCGACAAAGTATTCGATTCTCTACTAAAAATCTCATACATTTTGCATATTTCATACACATAGTTCCCTTTATCATCTTGAAGAGAGCAAGAACAAATATTTTAGCAAAATAGCATGAATTCATCTCATTTCGTTTGGTTCTCGTCAGCTGATTACAACTTGTGGTATTTAAAAATGGTAATTACAGAATGGGTTTAAATTACTTACATCAAAGAGTTTAGTTGGAAGTTATGTTGAAAACACATTAGTATAGCAAAGGTTTAAATAAATTTAATAGATTGAATAAAATACTGTAAATATACACCTTATGTAGAAGAACATTCTACAACATTGATTGTAACAAGAGTCCAAAAGACTAGAAACAAGCGATTACGTTATGAGTAAACGCTGATATTGAGTCAAGCTTAATTAGTAAAATAAGATTACTAATATAAAAGACAGTCAAAATAAAATGACGAAATAATGTAATTAGTTAAAAGAAGAAGGACTGTATGATGTAATGAAAGAATATTTGTCACCAAACCAAAGAAAAATTAACAATAATCTTTCGAACACATAAATCACTTTTTTGAATCCTGATAGCAAATTCAGAAGACTGGAGCTTGGTTGTTTATTAATCACCTTGAAAGACTGAAAGATATCGATCTGACGTCCTGTGTCCGAGACATGTTATCAATTACACTTTAAAGCCGTTTTTTCTCTGGTTCTAAGGCTTGTTGAACCAGGTTCTAAAAATCTAAGATAAGCCCTCCTTTCTGTTTGGCCGATGTAACCTCTTTGGCGGATACACGTAAATTTATAAACACAGTTGGCGTTGACGTGAAAGATGTGCTTTTCGACCTTTGATTAGGTTTTTGAACATGTCGTTCTACACACAATTAATAGATTGGCTGCCGGGTAAGTTCTCGCTAATTCAGTGTTAAGCCTCCTGCTGGTTGTGGTTGCAACGTTATCACCTTTCAAGTTGAGATTTATAGATATTGGATTTTTATTGACTAGTCATACCCATCTTATTTTACATAGACTCTTTACATGTTTCAACAAATTTCTGTTGGCAGCAGTTGTCTCTTACGTATTTTTCAACGTTTCATCAATTCTTCCAGTTTGTCGGTGGTACATACACTTTTTACCCCATAAAACATTGTTTTGACCAACGCTTTCTTGTAACTGGTTGGACGAAAACTACTGAAATTCAGATAAAGACTATTTCAAGTACTTTCTCGATAAACCGAATGTTTATCTGTCCCATTTTCCCTCAGTTGTATGGCAATATCAAGAAAGTGGAATGCGTTATACTTTTCGTGTTCCATAGTAGATTGTATGTTGGGATAAGCATCATTTTATCGTTATAACAGGTGGATTGCATGCTGTTTACTGTTGCAGGCAATAAACGTATCTCCAACGTATCTGGAATATTCCGTCGTTTTACTAATCGCTTGTTAAAGCACCATGCTTTGAAGTGATTTTTTGGTGTGTCAGAAATGCCTAATTCATTACATAACCTGATGTACACATAGATTATTTTCTCAACAAACATAAAGTTAACCAGACCAATAGATATCATCAAAATTCAAAATACTTAACTCTTATCCACATTTGGTACTTACTAGGATTTTTAGAATAATGAGACATTAGATATGACTTGAAATCTATTCTAATAAAGTAAATACATTCTTTTTTTTACCTTAATGCAAGTAATAACGAGTGTATTACTTCGGACTTGACCATCACACTTTTTCCCTTTCACAGTTGTTTCATTAGCTTCACTTTTGAAAACATTTTTAAAAAACTTCATGGAATCTTTGGACACGATAAAGACAACACCTTTCTATTTTATGATAAATGTTTTCACCAACTGATAGTTACATTGTTAAATTGACTAACCATCATCTATTGGGTATTGATTTTATGTTTTATTGTATAATCTATATATTAGTCCTAGTAAGGAACTGATTGTATTTCTAAACTGCTATGTGTAAAATAATTATAAATACAATTACACAGCTTTACTAAATGACGTCAAAAATAAAATTGCCGTCTTCAAACTGTACTTTGCATAATTTCAGTTATGGTGTCTTCAATCTCTTAATCATTTATATTTTTAAAAATTACTAATTGTGACAAATTGAATTATTATTATTATTGTTAGTAGTAGTAGTAGTAGTGTTATATTTTTTATCGTTTTAACTGGTCCAATATGAGTCTAAAGTATGACAACATGGGCTGGTACACATTCAAACTGGATCCTTTGTCGTTAATAGTTATTTTTTGCTTCTAAACAATAATAGAACGTTTGACAAAATTTAGATTATTTTGGTTATCAGTTATTAGTTTTAACATTTTTAATTGATTAATCTATCTTATTTGTTTATTAGATTTTTTAGCACATAAATAAATGGTATAAACAACCCTAACGATATTTTATTTTTCTAATAGTCACCTTTTACACTTCTCACCATTATTATTATTATTATTATTATTATTATTATTATTATTATTATTATTTAGATTGTATCGGAAATTCCGAGGAGACCTGTAAGCAAGCATCACGTGAGACGTCCAGTTCAGTAGTAAGTATACTAGTGAGAGTATGTATCTATAAAATACTTACTTTTTCCATGTATATATGTCTCTTACAAACCTTTGTAGTTAACTGAAAACTTACGATTAGCATTAACTTCCATGTTGGGTAAAATTTGTAGTTCAAATTGATATTTCTGTTGGTTTTGAATTCTCCGAGCTAGATGGTCTGATAGCATATGTTTCTTTGTTATTCTGGACAACATCTTCAACACCGACTTCACCTTCCTCGAAGAACTCACTACTAAAAGTTTCATGTCTTAATGATAAGCTTGAGCCTGTTTCTCTTATCTCACTCCAAGATTTGACATCTAATCTTATAAAATGCATTTCATTTCGACATAATCCGCGGTCTGATTTAGTCACTTCTTACTCTTCTAATACTTGACTAATTGAACTAGTGAAAACAGAAGGAATACTGTATAGGGAGCTGAATGATCTTACTCATGTTGGACACTTTTACAGTGATCATTGTTAACCGAACAAGCTATTTATAAAATTTAGACTCATAAACCAATAGAAAATTGAATAGAATTGTTTTTAGAGAACATATATTCACCTATGAAAATGGGTTATGGTTCCATTTAAAAAGAAAAATTCCTGAGGTTTGATTTAGCAAAACAACTTCAAAATAAACTGAAGTCGACATCAATCAATCCTTAGTTTGTAATGGTTTATTAATTGATTTTTCAATGATAATATGTCATTTTTTAAAATTTACTCCATATTCGATCCATATATATATATTGAAATAATTACATAGCTACTGCCAAAATCATGTATAAGGTATGATATTCTGAAGAAAATAGTTTCGAAATAATAGAACATTTTGTTTCATTTAACTTCTGTAATAAATTTCGTGTAATAGTTTAGTTTGCAAAAACTTAATGACTTCCGTTCATGAAATTATAAATAAATAAGAAAATGTAAAGCAAAAGAATCTTTTAATCTAATCAATTAACCACGCTGTAAGAAGTTATTCATACTTACTTGATAAATGTATGGGCTGACTTGATATCTGATAATATATTCAAGACATATATTTCTTTTTTTTTTAACTTATTCAAGATCAATTTCAGTTTTAAAAACATCGAGATATTTGTATAAAAATGATTACTTGATCTGTAATAATCTTTGTCACTATCTAATCTTAAGTTGAAATCACTGAATCATCGCTGTAATTCTACTATATGTGAGCTAAAAGATTCCACTAATAATCAACTTCCAGTTTTGTTCTAGTCACTATGCTCTATATGCTTCCGTTGTAATTGAAAAAGAAATTGAAGATCATGCAGAAATACCAATTGTTTTATTGTACCAAAATACATAAGACTTACAGGTTTCAACATGGACTTACGATTGTTGAATCATTGGTTACTTGTATTATTCATCTTCAAACTCAAATAGTCTTTAATCGGAATTGTTTAGAATGTTAACTAGACTATCTACAATATCCCTTATCGATCTTTTTCGTTCCTCTTATGACTTGCCAACTATTTTGATTGGTAAAGAAATAAATCATTATAAATTTTTGCCAAATTTATGAAATAAGTAATATAATATAAATACTCATTATCTTAAAAGCATAATCCAAGAAGAAAACAAGTTTGAAAACATCATCTACTGATATAAATAAATAAACAGACTAACAAAAATACTTGACCTATTGTCAGTGAATTATTTATCATTTAATCACAACAAACTATTTACCGTACATATCAACTTTTGTTTGAATATTAGGTTTGTTTTTCCTATTCTATCTTCTAACATTTTTCTTATCTATGGTAAATAAAATATAAATTTTTCAATTTCACCCATTAAATGACTCATATAGAATTAGTCAATATTGAAAATACATCATTTCTTTTTATTTATTATAAAGAATATAAATAAATTCTTGTTCTAGAGGTATCTATTTAATCATTATTATTATTTATTAGGAAGTTATCCAATCATTTCCTCCTTTTTTTCAATCTATTCACTCTCACATCTATTATTTTATTCCTTGGAAAATCTAATTCAAATCAATTCTGATATTCATGTAATTTGAGTGAAGAACATAGCGTTAGGCTATAAACATAATGAAGTAAAATAAATTAGATTTTTACAACTAAATTTAACTTCTTTAAATATTCTATTTATTGTATTCATATAAATCAATTATTTTTTTCAATTAAAGAAAATTTCTAATTTATAGTCACCATTCATTCTTGTATTGATTGTATGAATTGTCCCATTGATGTTTAGGATTATAATTGATCATTTTCTTTTTGACATATGTCTGTATCTTGTGCGAATTGCCTCGATACTGCCAGTAAATCACAAGCATTCTAAATAGAGATGGATGGTGGCTAGCAGTGGAATCCAAGACGAGCGTATTATCCGATTTGGAACTTGTCAATTGGATGTACACCTGCATCAAAGAGTTGATTTTCACTCTGGGACAAGAAACCAGTACATATACAAATAAAGAGATTGACTAATTTCTAAGTGGAGTTTTGTTCTGTGAGCTAGATGGTTTGGTCGTGGAGCCTTCATTGTTCTTCTGAACAACATCATCAGAACAAACTTCAAATCCATTTTCTGTCAATAAGTGTGAGATACAGACCTCCAACCAACTGCTCAGTGGGATAGGGGATAGCTGAGAAAAATGGTACACCCAATGATAACTGATGCACGCTACAGGATCCACAAATACCAGCACGTCATGGATTACAAATAAACGAAGCCAGAGAGGATACTCACATCAGAACATTTGGCAATGTTTGACAACAGCAATCAAGATATCAGGCAGACGACACATAGAACAAAGAAAAAACACCCTCAAGAAAAAAACTAATCAAGATTCCAAAGTCACCCACGGAAGAAAACACAAACAACTGCGTGATCAACCTGTCAAAGTAACCTCTGTCAGATATGGACAAACACCTACTCCTAAAAGGAATTAATTACAATAAAAATGAAGCCTCAAAACTGCCGGAATAAGTAAGGAAACTCAACAGAAAATAAACCATAGTACCGTCACTTTAAGGGAAGAAAGACAAAATTTAAATGACCTCACAAGGATAAAAAGCCTTAAAGAAACCCGGAATAGCGTATTCAGTCTTTCATTTTCCCGAGTGGCCGAGTTCACAATGCATCTACTCCATAATATTCTGAACTTTTACTATCAACAGGGGCTGTTTCGACTCACTGACTAGAAATAATGTGTCACAATACAATCTCAGATTACTCCATTTGGCTAATGAGGTGTGGCAACTTGGACCGATACATATATGTGCGTTACCAAAAGATGATCTTTTAACTTTTCCATAGATGGTTTATTATTTCCGTGTAGTTTTCTTTAATAAATAAGTTGCAGATCGGGGTCCACCGCTTGCAGAGACGACTAGTCGATCTCAGGAGCTGTGCTAACATACACGGGATAGAGAATCAGTATTGTATGTTGGCTTCCAGGTTGGTACTCGCACATAAAATCGAACTCTTGCAACCACTCCTGCCAGCGCGCCACTTAATCTTCTGGCTTGCAAAGCGAACAAAGCCACTGGAGTGCACGATAGACTTGGCGTACACTAAAAGGGCGTCCCAGGAGGTGGTGAAGAAAATGTTGCAAACGTTTTAACAGAGCCAGCATCTCTCGGTGCGTTTTAGAATATCTCGTTTCCCTCTTATCTAGTTGTCGGCTAGTGTAGGCTATGACCCGCTTCTGTCTATCTTGTCTTATTTGAGACAGGACTGTTCCGAAAACTGACGAGCTAGCATCCTTGTCAAGAACTAACTCATTCCCATTAGCGAAGTATCCAGAAAAGTTAATATGGGTGGGGCAGTAAGACATTAATTCAAAGTGCTGGTAAATACAATTTCTGATTAATGAGTTTAGCCGTACAGGAAAATATAGATTTCCTGGCTAAATCTCCTCAGGTATCAAAAATTACTGACTATAAGTACAAAATGAATAAGACGAAAGTTAGTCACAATAAAATAAATACATTCACTCTTTCTACATTTGTTCAGCATATTCATGGATTCCTTCTAGTCTGCTTGAAAATTTTCTGCTTTCATCGAATTTTTATTTCCTGTAGAAAAAAAGTGCATATTCAAATACTCTACTTTACTCAACTATTCCTAATGGATTTCTTGTTAGTATTCAGTTTATTTTCAAAAGCCTCTAATCAATTAAATAACAGCAAACTGTATTAGTATCAACTTAAAGATTGGATTATCAAATACAGTGAAATTCAGTCAATCTTTTCTTTTTCTTTCATATATGTTAATTAATTGAATGTAGTCTTTGTTTCATTTAATCAAATTTCTTTTATTCTTAAAATCTAATATAAAGAAATACAGCCAAGTCGCATACATATACACATATATTATTTCATCATACTCTTGTGATAATCTTTTAGTAGATTTATCATAAGAAGAAAGGTATATTTCTTTTGGTTTTAATAAAAATATGAACGAAATATTTTTTAATCATTTATTCGTCTTACTAATAATTATTTTCTTTGATTTTTTCAAAGTTGACTCAAAATTGTAGCAGCGACATTAATGATAATAATAATAATAATAATAACAATAATGATAATAATAATAATAATAATAATAATAATAATAATAATGGTGATGATGATGATGGCGGCGATCATCACAATCATGATTATGATAATAATGATGATCAACTTAATGTTACTACTCCTGTAATTAATTTAAACAGTTCTAAAACTGATAATATTCAAGTGTTCAATGAATATTCAATGAATAAAAAAATAAAAATGTCTACAATACTAAATAAAACTAATCAAGATAGAAAACATGTACGTCGTCCAATGAATGCTTTTATTATATTTTCTATGAGACATCGTAGTGAAGTACATCGTCTTTATCCAAATAAAGATAATCGTGTAGCAAGTCAAATTTTAGGTGATTGGTGGTATCATTTAGATGCATCAGAAAAAGCACCTTATCAACAATTAGCTCGTGAAGTAAGTACATGATATTATGAGTTATATTTGTTTATTTTTTTTCTTTAGAATAATAATAATAATCTTTATGTAATGATTTTGTTTTGTTGTGAGAGGACAGATATCCAAAAGAATTAATCTTACTCTTAAGTTTTATGAATATTATTCTAACTGAATAATGTACTTATTCTGTGAACTATTTATCTCGTCTGTTGGTTTCAGTTACTTAAATCGAAAATTGACAGATCTATAAATACGGGATAAATCCGTAAAAGTCATCATATATTTTCCCTGTAGTGTTAATGGAGTATCAATATTTTGGTTTCAAATCGGTGTCGTAAAATAGAAAAACGATTGATGTTGATGGTTTGCTAACTTTCAGTATATTGAAAGATTTTACCTTCTTGATATACCAAACAGAGCAACAAATATGACCTCAAAATTAAATAAACATCTATATTGTTTTAGGAAATTTCCGAATTTATAGAGATATCCCCACATCTAATAAACTTTCTCACAATTTTTGTAAACAGTCTAGCTTCATGATGTCTTGAAGCGTAACTTTTACATCGTACCTGGATTTACTATCCCAACTGTCATCCGATAACGTAGACAAACTACTTGTTTTTACTTTTGGCGCTTTCCGGCTGACCTTCTTATCATGATACAACCACAAAGAACAAGCTTCTTAGCGTGTAAAGATAAAAAATAAACACTATTACTTCAAAGTAAGACAGCATAGTCATATGAAATAAGATTTACACTGGGAACTCAAGAGTTCAGAATTACTACTGTAGATCATTATTCTATGATACCATATAAGCACTTATGTTATTTGTTATTCTGATATCCAGTAAATTTTTCCGAAAAAAAAGTTTTTTAACAACATTGGAATTTTTCAGCAAAGTTCATATTTGAAGTTCTTAAAACTGTCTTTATTAATGAATAAGTTGTCCTTAGATGTATTATTTCCTACTTTAGTATTAATAAATTGGTAACGTATAAATTTATAGCTGTCTGAAAAATGTGTGTTCAGATATTGACTAGCAGTAGAGACTTGGAGTAATGTTTCATTTTATCCGAGATTCGTCGATAGGATTTACCTATCACTACCTCTACCACTACGGGATTTGAATCGATAACTGAATCTCTGTGCTAATGTGGTATGGCAACTCGAACTGATGTACGTACATTCGAAGTTCCACGTTGTTACTGACTGACTGACTGACCTACATCTCCATGTTGGCGTTTACATTGAGATTTAAACCCAGTAACTAAATGGTAACTTACAATCAATCAACTCAATCTAGATTTTTCGATTACTGTTCTTAATATCTATGGATATTTACGTAATATTTAGATCATTACTTCCAATTTTTGGTGTACTTCAATAAACATTTCAATGAATTGAAATGTTTGTTTCACGTTAAGCGCGGATATCTAACCATATTATTACGGCGATCATGATTAAGCTGTGAATACCATCGAATAGATCAAAATAGAATGATAAACAAACTGAATAACTTGAGATACATAAGTTGAATTTAATCTGTAATAACTTTGTATACAGTTCCTAAAATAAAGGAAGTGTTCATACGGCCATTATAATCAATTTATCGAATGATTACCAACCGACTGAGTAAACTTTGATTTTATGATAGTGTTTTGTATTATACCACTTTTTTTTACCTCTCATATTTAGCTAAAAGCTGCGCATTTTCAATCATTTCCAAATTGGAAATGGTCTTCTAAACAAAGACTTAGGTCAGAAAGTGGAAACATTAAGAAACGATTCCTAACTCATTCTAATTCACATCCAGAAACGCATACAGCACTGACTGATTCTAACAATTTATTGGTGAATAAGTCTTTATCAGATGAAAATAAACTAAATACACATTCATTGACCAGTAACCAAATCAATGAATCTGACAGTATTTTAACGAATTCAGCGTTAAACGAGTTATCAGTGAATAATGAATCACCTATAGGTAAGTTTTTAGTTCCTTCCAATTGATTTTATGCATTGTGTAATCTATCATCAAATTCATGTGATGTTATGTAGTTTTGTTTAGTCTGTAGTTCTAATCGAATCCTGTCGACCAAGTTACAATGTACCCACCACTCAAAATGACTAAACATTTTCAAAAATATTTTCCTATAATTGATGGTTGGAGGCAGTCTCAGTAGGTTGTCCCAGAAATAAGTTTCGTGCTCATCATCAGCAAGGCATATCTGCAATCTTGAAAAGACTGAGGTTCGAATCTATGTTAAATTAGTTTTTGAGGATACTAAGTCCTCATAAATCGCTTGGTTAACTTCTTATTTTTGTAATTTAATTTTTAGGGTTTGAATTTCTCATTTCCGCGCCAAAAGTGCCCATTTTTACTCTAAGTTTGTGTTGCCCACCTGGAAAGACCCTAAAAGTCATTGGTTCGTTTTCTCTTTTGTGACGCTTTCCAAGGATATTTTTGTATTATTTATATTACTCATGAGCTGAGTGATTGTTGTTCGTTCTTCTGGATTGCTTGTGGAATTATATGTTTTCCCAGCTAAATCTGGTCTTCTTCCTCTAGTTAACAAGGCTAGGGCGCAGAGGAATAGCTTAGCTTGTCAAGTTGTTGGATTGCTGATTTTCGTTTCATTCGTCGGTCTAAGGTGATACCATGAATTCTTGAATATAACACTAATAATAGTGATTTTTATAGTATTTATAATGACTATACTGTATTTGGGATCAAATTGATATTGTTTTGAAAAAGTGGTATTTCAAAAAGATATGTGATACCTTTGTAGTTTACATATCACCTGACATTTACATGAATGTTTATACCGTTGTGTACACTGAACAAGTACATTGTGATAGTATCGTTAAGTTTATATGAAGATTAAGTATTTCATGATGTTTTATTTTTGTAAATTTATATAAATCCAGTAGTAATATGTTCATAAAATAACAATGCCTTCGAATTGCGTAATACACATATACATAATCAAAACTCTTAAAAACAAACTTATTCAAAAACAATACATTTATCTGTAGATATTAGTACAATATCTGTCTACTTAAGTAAGTTGTGCAACTGTTTAAAGGTAAAAAAAACAGCAAAGAGTAGTTGGTAAACAGTTTCAATTAAAAAATGACGTCTCACATCCATTTTATCGGTATACAAAATTTATATAGATTTACAAGAGTAGATCATGGAGACAAAGTTTTTGAAAACGATTATTCTGTCAAGTGTTCTTCGTTTTTTTCTTATAATATATTCTATGAATGCATTAAGACACTTTATAAATAACAATTTACTTTAAAACACAATTCATTCCCGTCACAGGTAGACAACAGAACACTTTTAGGATAAATTTTACTTCTGAAACCAAATCGCTTAATTACTTCTGTTACCCATAGTGGAGGAGCACATCATCATTCTCCATCCAACTCTGTCCTGGACAATCCTTTCTAGTTGTTATCCATCCTTTTAATGTCCTTTTCCGACCCCCAACGCAATGTGTCCCTTGGTCTTTCTCTTTTCCGTTTTTCTTTGAGATTCCAAGTTAGCGTTTGCCTCATGATGCAGTTTGATTATTTTCGCAATGTATGTCCCATCCATTTCTAACATCCTTTTCTAATTTCCTCCTCAACTGGAGGTTGGCTTGTTCTCTCCTAGAGTAGGCTGTTGTTGATGGTATCCGGTCAACGGACACTGAATATCTTACGTAGACAATTATTTATAAATGCTTGTACTATTTTGAATTTTTTAGTGATATAAATATGATCTACAGCAATTTGATTGGTCCTCCCGGTCTCACATTTTTCGGACATTCCATGTACCTATATTATTGGTTATTCTTGTTGTTAGAAAAGGCATCGGCCTCGTGACTTCCGAAGAATATTGAATTTCACCATAAGGCATCATAATTGTTGTATAGGGAAATCCCTCAACTGGGAGGGCAGACTTAAAATGGTTTAAATTGAATACTCTTGTTGGAGTTTTATTAGCAAGGTCTCTATTTACGGGATGATGTTACTAATCCCATGCCCAACCGTCCTCTTTGGTGTGGGCTTTGGATCGGCAGTAGCTCCAGAAGTGCTACTGGTGGAGTTCTGCAACTAGGTAACTATATCCCGACCGTAACTTTATGCGAATGCCATTCTTGTCACCTTGCATGTTTAACTACCTAGATTTACTCCCATTTGTTTCATAAGATTTTATAATATAAGAATTAATTTTCTTTTATTACATTCACAGCTTTATCACAATCGAATCTTATAGCTGAAAATATCAGTCAACATAACTGTCATGACAATTGTAGTTCCATTGAAGTAAAATCCTCTGTTATTGGGAATGATCAGTATAGATTAAATGGTTTAGACTTATTATTACATGCCGTTCAATATTTGGATAAAGAAAATAACCTATTTAATGATGATTTAATACAACCTCCACCACTTGTTATTGAGGACCATGATACTGATGCTAAAAACGTTCAAGTCAACATTGACAAATCCAATACTTTCTGTAGTGATAACTTTGAAACTGTTAATAATTCCATCAAGGAGTTAACAGAGCACAATTTTAAAGGTAATTATTTATTCACTTGCATACGAATTGCTTCTCTTGTTTAAATATGCACTTACTCGTCTCATTGCAAATCGGAATACGTGAAAGGTTATAAACTGATTATTCACGACCTATTCATTGATACTTTGTCTAGTTTACCAATTTACGTTTACTTTCTCAAACATATATATATGTATATATACGACTAAAATAGTCGTTCTACTTCATAAAGGCCTATGGAAAAGCTGTTTTCTTTTAATTGCACATCGGGTTTACCTGCAGTAGTTAGTTTATTATAGAAAAACTGTTTAACATTTTTACTCCATTATTTTTACTGGTTTGTAATAAATTCATCTTTCTAAATGGCCGTTTTATAATGACTGAATTCTTGAGAAATACATGTATTCCCCTGGTTACATGAATATTAATAAACGTTGTGCAATCATAGAAACCAGTATGATTTCGCTCTAAAATCTCAACTATAATATTCATTGTCTTTAATGATTTGCTAAAACTTCTCAATGAAGAACTCTAGCCTTATCAACAATTATATCGCTCAAAAACAGAGACAATATCTCACTGAGCTTGTTTTCGGCTGCCATAATTAAAAATACTATTATTAAAAAGAACTGGAAGTGGCACAAAGACAGTCAAACATGAAATAGTTTATTAATAAGCTACATTTTATGAAACGACAAATACTAGTTTATGTAATTCTGGGTTCTACCTTCCCATAAAAGTATTTAAGCGTTTGGAATTTTAATTGCAGAAGTAAATTATGGAAACTTATAGTGAGCGATAACCCCTATACCCAAAGCAATTATTTACGAAAAATCTATTTATAACCGATCTACAGTGGGTTGTCTTCTGGATTCTGCGACCACGTCTAAAGACATCGAACTACATCTTACTCGTCACAAATTCTCTTCATCAGTTCTTAAAGTCATTTTCTGATAATCAACCTTTTCACGAGAACTTTAATCTCTCATGAGTTTGTAGCTCGTGTTAGCAGTTCGAACGTATGAAATCTCGTGAAATGTTTTTATTTCCTAAAGCTAACAACATTTACATCTTTATATTGAGTAATAAACATATGTCATTAGTCGAAACTTTGAAACCCCATGGATTCACATATCCTGTGTTTATTAAATTCTTATACACGACCATAGAATTGTTATTTCAGTTGACCTTACCTATTTAGTAAAATAACTCTATACTCTTCAGTTATATATAGCTTTGACAAATATTACCTGTGGTGTACAAGTTGTACTTATGATGTTCCGTTTAAAAGTATGACGAGAGCTTATCGACCAGATCTCAGTGAAGGATCAATGGGACTGTGTGAATTAAAAATGATCTAAATACACCATGTCACTTATTTATATTATTCTTTACACCTTCTACTAACTGAAGTTCCAGAAAAAGGAAGGATCAGTGAATTTTGAGAGCATGAATTCAAAAGGAAAAGAAACTATCTGTATGTGAAATCACGCAGAAATAACTTCAGTATTCTATATTTGTAATGGTAGTGTAGTGTTTCTACAATCTTTCAGTCAATCACAACATAGAACCTAGTATGTAGGTACATCGGTTCAAGTTGACTTACCCCGTTAGCACAGAGATGAAATTGTCAGGTCACATCCCAAAATAGTAGAGTTAGCAAGCTGTAGTCAAGTTTTTGTTATAACTTGTGCTCTGTGTTCTATTAATGTATCACGTGATCATACAGCCCATTAAGGAACAGTGAATTATCGATCGGACCAATGACTCATAAAAACCCGTACGAGCGGTCTAGAGTCCTCATCGGTCCTGCTTCCCGCCTAGCCCAGCCTGATAAGTCCAGAACACCAATTTCAGCCTCTGCGATATGAATCATTTATTTCAAACATACTGGGTTTATGTGCCAACCAAACAAACCACATAGTACGATTAAAAAAAAATAACACTTGTGCAAGTTCTATCCAAAAGTGGCTGTGAATGTGGGAGATAGTAATTGATAGACTGGGTATAACTCAAGAATGATAAATCGTATAATAACAGTTCATAGGTCAAAATAAAGCTTATGATAAGAGGAACATAAATATGAATAGTTTAGTCATTTAACAATTATACGATAAAAATATACACATTGTATTGGTTCATAAATAGGTCCCAAAAGTTACCATTCATTATTCTCATCAGGATATAACAGTTTTATTTCCTTATTTCGTCGAAAATTCTCATAATACTAAGTTATGAAGTAAGCGATTTGTTGACATTAATCTCATTTAGATTTTAGCTGTTATGCTTTGGTAAATTTTATATAATTCATTAGTTAATTGTATATATATATGGTCATTGTTGTTTCTTTGTTGAACTCCCATTGAATTGATTTATTCAATGGAATAAACATAAATTGTCTGTTTCTGTCAACTTCTGGATCTCATGCAGATACGACAGTAACTCCTGATCAAGAATCAACCTCACTGAATGGTTCAATAAAAAACCTTTTAATAGATTCTAGTGTAAATACTTCCACATGTAATTCAACCAGTCAATCAGTTCTCGAACACTCATCAAAGTAAGCTACCATTATGTCTATTACATATGATGAACACTATAAATTTTTTTAAATAGTAAACCCAATTTATATGTAATTTACTGATGATCTGTAAAATAAGAAACAAAATGATATCATTCGTTGTTTTATATAATGTAGTGGTTCATCAAGAGTTTTAGTACCTGTGTAGTTGTGCTACATGATTGGGTTGTACTGTCCAAATCGTGTAAAACCTGTATGGATACCTGGTTCTCCTGAACATCAATGTAAAATTACTCACCTTCAGGTTATATTTATAATTGTGCAATAATATTGCCTGAAGAGAAAATCTGGGCGAATTCAACGTAATAATATCACCATTTTTACTATCAAAATGAACTCCACTAGTTTATTATTGTATGTTCATAATAGTTGTAAAATCCTCTGTAACTAAATAATTGATCCATTTCTTATGAATGAATATGTGAAAACGTACTACTTAAAAACGATAATGACCTCATAATGAATCATAAAAACTGACTGTACAGTAGGCTTGATGACAATTAGGAAATTTATGAACGAACGTTATCTATTATATTATTCTCTAAATCAACAAAAATGATTAGCAGATAGATCAAGCCAAGTAAATATCCAATCTGTTAGTTTAAGTATAAGCTTCATTGAAACCATGAACTGATCGATGTCAAACCACCATTGGAAGTACTGAAGTACTAGATCTCCGTTTCATTTTAATATAGAACTCCAGAGCAGTGCGCATCCACGGTTGCACACGCGTGACTCGAACCCAGAACCTCTGGTCTCGTCCGAACTCTTAACCTCTAGACCACTGAGCCGACCAGAATCCAACTGTGTTAAATTTAAGTTGTTAGTGATCTTGTCTACAATAGAATTTTCACTAATCTACTTTGCCTGTATTGGTTGTTTGAATTTATTTTACTCTTAACTTCATTTAAGCGAATTTATTAATTCGTTTTCATCAATCTTATTATCACCAACACGTAAATATTCTTTTCATTCTTAATGAATTCAATATAAATAATCACAGTTTGGACATATAGTCACTTTAACTTTCTCAATTGCTATTGCAATAACAATTTCGTTTCCTTCCCTTATCTCTATCTACCTGTCAAGCACTTATTCGATTTTGTTGTTAATATTTAATAAATCTTACCTACCACCTAGTGATTTCTGCATTGTCATAACGACTGAATATTTACATTTATATTCTGACTGTTTTTTCTAAATATAATAAGTTCATTGTCTCCAACCGACATTATTCTTAATTTCAGTTTTGGTCAACATTTTAAGTTTAATACTATTTTTTTCTTTGTTTACGTTCACTTGTTTACTCTGTCTTTGTCTATTCATTTCATCTTTCTTCCTTTTAATCAGCTGATACACATCTCATATATCATGTGATTTTTGGGAAAAAAATTTTTTCACAAAAAAAATTTCAATTTGTCAACAGTAAATCCTATCAATAATCATTGTTTTTCCATTCAACTACTGTTTCCTAAAGATATAAAATTCTTTAACTCAACAATAGATCAATTAGAGAGTATGTAACACTTTCAAGTAACAACTATAAATAATATAACTAGTCTATTGTATAAAATCAGTCCATGAAGATTGGTTGGTTATCTACTGACATTGTAAACAATGAGAGACTAGTTCAGGTTCCTATTGTAGTCAAGATCAATAATGGTTTATAACTTCAGATTTTGCCGCTAAAAGTCTGTTTTTTGTAACAAAGATAAACTCATTCTCTATCTTAATATCAGTCGTAGACATTTTGTTAATTTTTCTTCCTTAACTTTTTGTTATGTTCTCTTTTCTTTAAAAAACCAAACAAACATTCTCAGTTCTGGTACTTTCGAAAACTCTAATAACTGTCTACAAAACCAATCATTAAGCGATTGCAACAAATCCAATTCAATTGCAGACCTATGTCATTCTACATTTATACTACCACAAGTTGCCGTTTATCCCAATACATTACTAATTGAAGTAGCAGAAAATCCTCTCCTGTGTCCACTATCAATTAATATTAAACCAACGTTATTGTCGTCATCATCGTCTTCCTTGTCGTCCAATTGTTCATCTACAGGTATGTTATTTATGTATACATTTTCATTTTTCTTCATTCTATGGGATACTTGTTTTGTTCATTTCGTTTGTAGTGTTAATATCCAGTGATATAGAGCTGTCACAAGTTTCTTGATTTTCTTAATTTAGGAATGCGTCTTGTTTTTATTTTTGGTACATGCTTCTTATAAGAAAAAAAGGAATGAAAGAAGAGACCAAAAGAGGGAGGAGTCATAAAATTTCGAATATTTTCGGTTAGATCCTTAAAAAATCACAAGTTTCATCTAACGTTTCAAGTTTGTAATCATCGAGAGTTCCCACGCTTTTTTTCTAGAAAGGATTAATAGTTACTTCACGATTCCGTGCTCAGTTCTCATACAAAACTATGTTTTCCTTTCTCTTATTAAAAATGTGAGTTAATATTATACTTGAATAAGTATACCATCTCGACCAATACATCTTTATTATTATTTTGTTTATCTAAAACCATTTAGTTGGCTTGATCCCTAATCTTTCACAAGGTTTTACCTTTCTATTGACGATTCGATTTAATCGACTGACAAAAACATGTAATATCTTTGTGTCTGTTTGTATCAATAGCATTTTACATTGAGGTTATGAATGAGAAGACGTCACTATGTTGTTTTCTGAGCTTTCTAAATATAATCGATATTTCCACACTAACTTACGGTTTCGCTCTTAGGTACAAAACTAAACAGATTACAGCTAAAGTATCCTCCAGAGTTGTACTAGAGCAATGTATCACTTTACTTATTCTCTAACTTTTGCTTTTAATATTTGCTGACTTAGATTATAACATGTAATTATTTTATGGTTACAATTATACTCGTTCTTTATTACTGTTTATTTCATTTTAGAATTGAACAACTCTTTACTTGAAATCAATCAACAATCTGTAAAAAATACTTGTGAAACATCAAAATATAATCAGATCAATGAAGTTTCTTTAGAAAATAATACTGATACTCACATACCTAACCAACAGAATTCTACAGTTGTAAGTTTGATCAATATTTATTGTCAATTATTCTACGTAGTTAATTTTTATTTACAACTACTAGAATGATTTGCAAATTGACTGACTTATTGTCATTAGAATAATTTGAAATGTAAAAGACTTCAAATGTTAACAAGTTTGTTTATTTTAACTTTACATGTTGATAGTTTCTTTTTGTAACTGTAGTAAGAAAATGATAACTAGTATTAAATGAAAGACAAAATGTATTTTCTTTTCGTTTCAAAGATTTATGGAATTTGATAGATTATGAGAGGTCAGTCTCGTTTTATTCAGTTGCTACTGATTTTGAAAAAATAAATGTTACATTTATTTCAGAAGATAATTATAGCATTCAAATAAATTCTTTCGACTATTAAGAAATGTTACAAGAAATAGTGATTTGTAGTGAGTATCAATATTTTCAAGATATTTGTATGTACATAAGTGGACACTAACAGCTTTAACGGACTGTGAGATTATACTAAAGTATTATCTGCTAGACAGAATGCCATCATTTAAATCTCGGTGGTCACCTTAACCCAGATTTACAATTGAATTATCGATCCTTATCATTTTGATTGAGTTGACTGATACTTCTGCATTTTCTTAACACCCTAGATTAGTAATTACGTGATCAAATTGTTCGTAATGTTTGTAGTCGGTACTTCAGACTTGGATTTCTTACTCCGTTTCCAAGATATCACTGTTTGATGTTAGCAAGATATGCTTTATATTAATAGTAATTTTATCCTTTTTCGTATTTGAAAGCAGCCGACAAATAACTCATACCATCAACCTGTTTTACTTAAAGAAGAAAATTGTATAATCTATGATTGTGAGAATAAATTTCAATCATCTACTAATGAAAATTCTCATAATCAACAAACTGTTTCTTCTAAATCAAAACCTCCTCCATTGAAATTACAAAATGATGTATTTAATTCCAGCATCATAAACAAAAATATTAAACAATCTGATAGATCGGTTGAAAAAAGTACACCTCGTGCTCCATTCTCAGCTGATGCAGCTAATCGACGTTTTAAACGAAAATTTGATGAAACTACAGAGAAGTGAGTTGTGATAATGTCTTTTTTACTAATAACTATTGCATATGTATCAAGACGGTTCAGCGAATAGACTGTTTCATTCAACAATCTGATTTATCAAACCTATTCAATTGTATTTATTACTTGTCTTTACACATAACAGCCTTCAATAAAAAGAGACGGATGTTGCATAATTCATCGGAGTTACCAAGAAATAATCAGACTTTAGGATATTGAATATGTAATTGTCTTCAATGTAATATTAACTAACATTTTATTAAAGAAATGCTACAGATAATTACACTTTTGATGAACATGAAGAAGATTTAAATGAAACAAACAGTTGGTAATAAAAACTTTTCAAATAAGTAATCGAACACGTCTTTTTTGAATAGAGATCAAGCTTGAAACGGTAAACTATGAAACCTTAAGTCGCGCACAAATTTCTAATCTAAATCCCTTTCGAGTTAATTCTCTGACCGTATAGATGATACAAAATGATGCCAATAGCGGTTCGTAACTATAGTTCAAGGGCTGAACTATTGATTGACTTGGATCTCTTTAAATACCCATACAGGTTATTTTTCCAACATACGTCTGGAAAGTACATGCTTCATGTGGCCAGTATAATCTTCTTTACAAGAGAATCGATAAAATGTACATATATAATTATTGATTAATTGGTTTGAAATAAATAAACAGATAAAATACTTTATGTTGTTGGATTGATCAAAGTTGTTTGTTTGTTTTTTTATACATAAATTTTCATTATACTGAATTCAAGTGACTTATCAAACATTGTTTACTAATTATAATTTGGATATAAACCAAGTGTATGGTAATCTAATTATGATACCGTAAAGCCCATACCAGACTACTTAAGCCTATTACATAATACAAACTTAATTAAATTAGGTATCAATAATTATAGTAATTTTATCCAGATGGGCTGGAGAGAGGTTAAATGAAAAGTAACCGAATTATAATCCAAGGGTGGAGTTCTATTTTTGACTTCACTGGAGTCTGTTCACTGTAAGATGTTTCCCTCAGACAACCAGAATCTTCAGTAAGTTAGCTCTAAAAGTAGCAACCCTCTCTATGCCATGGATTTCCAACGCTCACAGTAAGATCTAACACACTGAAAACTACTCACAGAAACACCGTATATATTTCGTCTCAACCAATTATCCCTTGGGCTCTGCAGTGATGCTCCCAAGTAGTCAACGCCATTGATGATCTAATTCGTTTTCTGGGTCCTTCTAGAGGTATCCCTCCATAACCGGGAATTGCCAACTGCCTCCATATCTCTGAGAACTTCAAGACTGATGATATCAATCTCTTGTTGACTATGGAGAGCGAAGTAATCGGAAGTTTTAACATTTCACCTAGTTGGAAGTATCCCTCAACTTTCCCTGGTTGGTTTTTGGTTGAAAAAAATCTCAAACTTAAGTCGCTATTGGCGCAAGTAAGATGTGCATTTCCGATTCGACGAGTCAGTTAAATGCTCAGTAGCTCTCTGTACATTGTTTCAAAGCTGTGAAATATGACTAGTATCTTATTTCAAGTCAAATTCTGACTAACATAGGTGTAGGTCATAAAAAAGTAAGGAATAGTAACTAAACGAAGACATTGGGTCACCAATGGAAGGCACAAACTCCCCTATTTAGTGTCCCCAGTCATTGACTACTATAAATATTTAGAGATATTAACTGATAGATCAAAATCAGTTTCAGTAAAGTAATTTCATTTATTTTTTATCTTCCCATAAATCCTGAGTTTTTTCTTATTCGATCTTGTTTGTTCTTTTAGAGCCATGGTTAGTTAGTTTATTTTTCCACTGCAAATTAGTCCATTATATTCATTCCTTTGATTTCCGCTTTGTTAATTTCTTCACACACACTATCCTAATGCAAATTGTACTAACTAGGTTAATACATATTGGTATCAGGTCATATCGTCGTTTATAACTGACTGTCAGTTCGTTCAGTTTTGAGACATATCAGCTAATCAATTGTAACTAATACATTTTAAAACAGAGTTAAATGAAATGTACTCGCCAACAATTAAATGAGTGTGATTACATGTTACCATTTTTTTATACCGAAATTCTCTTTTTTTAAGTTATTTTCTCGTTATAACATCAACAATTGTTTAGATTGACAAAATTTTACTATTAGCTATTCACAAACCATCTTTTATCTTCAAATTATCATTAGTATTTTAGCTCAAATCAACTTTCGGCGTCGATTTTCTTATCTACCAAAATTTAACCCTAATACTGTCTCATCTACACAAAGCTTATCATCACCAACATCTATCGATCAATTAACCATACGTTCTGCAGGACCTTGTTTTTACTCAGAAACTAGTCAGAGTAAGTTGTTAAAAACAAGTTTCAGTTGAATAATAATAATAGTTTTCTTGTAATTTAGAAAAAAACGTATTTCTATAGTTTCATGTAATCGATCATAATAATTGTCACGTTCATTTTGTACAGGTTATTGATAACTATCCTAATGTTTAAACTCTTAATCTTTTGATTATTAAAATTTAATTGCCTGGATCAATAAGAAATGTATATTTACAAGTCCATATACGAGTCCATTTGTTTTAAAAATTAAAAAGCAAGCAAATAAACACTAATATGATTGATGGTGTACAAAGATTTAATTATAAACATTTGTTTCATAAAAGGTTTCCACAATTCATTCAAACAGTATATTTGTTTTTTGAAAAAAGGGAGAAAAAATACATTTCAATATAGTTAGCTATCAACTACATTCTGTTTATCAACTCTATGTGATAAGTAACAACAATTGAAATTACTTATTCAACTTTCAAAGCAATTAGTCCCTTTTTGATAAATGTCGATAATGTAATAAGAAGACGAAGATTATCAGAACTGTGTGATATATGAGCGTAATACATTTCGAACAATCTGATGTATTGCGCTAATATATCACGTAGTTCTGATAATCTTCGTCTTCTTATTACATTATAAAAACTCATTCGACTGTTTACTACATTTATTATATATTATTTCCTATAATAAAAATTCTCGATATGAAGATTAATGTATATTGATAGAACTATTGATAGAACAATGACATGTTTATTAAGTAAAAGTTAAAAATATTATCAATAAAAACATCATATATAATGGAAAGTCTTAGAATATCAACATTGGAATCGTTACAAAATGACCATATAGAATGGGATCTAGCATTTACATGATAAAATAATGAAACATTGGTGAATTATAATTTTAAATGAACTAAATTGATCATTTAATGAGGAAAATAAGATCTCATCTTAAATTACTTCGATCATGATTTTCGGATTATTTTTGTGATTGTGAATAGTTCTAGAAGGAGTAAAAAGAGAAAAAAACCTGTTAACATCTAAATCATTATTTAAGATATGAAATGTTCTAATGCTTAGTTCTTAGAGAGATTGGAAATGCCAGTCACTAGCTTAGTAACCCCATGTTGGACATCCTCAAGCTTGTCAGATTTTATATCTGCTAAATCTGATTTTATCCATACCTTAAAATGTAAGGTGAAAAATGTAAAGGCTGGAAGTCGATTTCTCTATGTAATTCTAAATTGTGTAGTTGTAAATCTGCTGCATTTATGGTGGCTTAGTTATGTGTTGAACAAACCAAGAAAATCTAAAATAGGATATGGCATTAGTTTAAGAAGTGAATATTGGTTTTTTTCCTATTCAAGTACTTTACGTAAGCACAGTTTTTCTGGTTTTAGTCCCTAAAATATAAGAAAGCAATATTTGGTGACCCTAAATGATATATCTGTAGTGGTTCAGATTCATTCATTGAGTGTTATCTCTAGATTCTGATCGTCTTATAACTTTTCACTTATATATTTCTTCTTGCCTTTACAAATACTTGATTTTATTGAAATTTTACTATTTTTATACAGAAATAAAGCGTGGCAAGTTAAGCGACTATACCATGTAAGACGTTATACTGTTTGGTCTCGTTTGCTCATCCATTTATCTGTAAAATCCATGCTAGTTTTTTTTAGAGGTGAAATCTACAAATCAGTAGTTAACTTCCCTTTCTTTGATTATATGGTATAGTTAACGTATAACTCTATGCTGTCTGATAACTGACTAGTGACCAGTGTTATTTTGACGGAGTCTTTAACTCTGATCTCATTTTAAGGATCAAGTCCAAATGTAGTCACTAAGTTACGTGAATCTGCATCACATACACGTTATGTAATGCTATATGATTGGCGAGAATCTGCCCCTTATTAGTTGTATACACACTTTACTGACGATATATATGCTCAGAACTTGCTACCTGATCTCTTTCAAACGTTTAACACTAAACTATAATTTCCTTGCAATTAGTATATTTAAACGTTCATATTATTCTATTTTTCATCATTTTTTCTACATTTATTTATCTTAGCTAGTTCAGTTGCTCCAACACTTAGTATAGACACTAGTCAACAATTATGTACGCTTACTTCTCCAAGTTCTCATCTTAGTGATTCGGAAAATATTCATCAAAATTTATCACCCAAAAAACGTGTAAGTAGATTTTGGTTACTTAACTGTTTTTATTCTATTTTTAAATATTTTATATGTTGTATAATGATAAATTTTTATTCTTAGAAATTGGTAATAACTATTTTAAGGATTTTGGCGTTTAAAACAATTAGTCCCTTTGACAAGTTTGGATAATGCGATGAGAAGACGAAGGTTATCAGAATTATATGGTACATTTGGAACAATCTGATCATACATATACTTGTTATGACATTTTATATGAAAAACAATAGGTCAACTAAACAAATTAAAAGGTAAGGGGAAACAAAGATAATTAAGAAAATAATGTGAAAACCATGCTGGATGGTATGAAAGCCGACATGGACAGCGCAATATTTTAGTTTCCATAACCACGGTCCATTCCAGTACAAACGGGGATCAATAAAGGACTTATTCAATAAATGCAATAGAATTTGTACTAGTGATACTATCGTAAGAAACCCAAAGCTCATGACTGAAACATGAATTAATAACGGTTATTGATTGAAGTTTATAAATCCCTGGAAAGGTAGCAATATGAATGGACCTACTATGTGTTTGGAACCCGGAAAACTAGTCTATGTTAACCTATATCTCAGAGGTGACTCAAACAGTCTCATGTTGAAATGAAGACTCAAATTCGCTAACAATTGGAAATTTTATGCAGCCCAACTCATCATTATCGAAAAATCAAGGTCTATGTTTCAGGGAAAACCCAGACAGCATGTAAACGATTGTGTCACATCCCACTGTATCTATCAATTTACATGTATGTGCGGAAACATGCACATGTATACTAACGTTTATTGAAGCCTTATCTATACAAAAACTGAAACCCTCTTTATATGTTTAAAAACAATTTATTCTTACGCTTAACCTACGATGTTAATACTGATCTGTTATCCAGAGCGGTTTTCACGTTATATTCGTCTAATTGACTTTTTATTTTTCATATATAATGTCATAACAAGTATATATGTGATTATATTGTTCGAAATGTATTGCACAAATATATCACGTCATTCTGATAACCTTCATTTTATCTCATGATCTTAGTATTATTCCGTTTATTATTATTATTATTTTTTTTTTATTACCATGTAAGATGAATTATCTCCTATCTCTTTATCACCATTTCCTTTTGCTAACAATTTTTTTTTCGAATTATTAAAATGTTTGATTTGGACTGAAAATTCAAGGCGATAAAAAATCAAAAAAACGGGAATATATATGTATGTATATAGTCCTTTTGTTGGATAATGACAGTATATATGACTGGTCAAAAACTATCGTATAGTATAGCAAAATTAATATGTATAATTCTGAAAATGAGGACTTTAGAATGCTTTCGTCATAAAGCTGTTAGTGACGTGAAGCATAAGACGTGAGCAAGCTGCATAATCAGCGATGGCATTATTTTACGATGCAGCATTGTTTTCGAAAATACACCTTATTGTTTATTAGTGTTGTAGGCATAAAGTTTTGTTTATCAGATTACCGTATAAACAAAATCTAAATTCGCCATGATGGTAACATAAACACAACACAATGCATGTTTTAAAATGATAGATATCATATCTTTTCAATCAAGGCTAAACTAAGTGGTGTATTCCATACCCTACAGCTTGATGCTTCGCAACACATTTGCGTTCATTACTAACTGACAGACATTTTTTACTGTTTAGGACTATATTCAGCTGAAAGATTGTACAATGTATCTACATTTTAGATGATAACCGAGCTTATTGAAGTGACGCAAATGTAACTGCAATGAACCAAGGGTCCGTTGCATCCTACACAAATATTTAACTTTTTTTTAATATTTTTAGTAGCCAATGCAGCTCATTGTCTACATATTCACCATGTAAGGTTGCATTGATTTTTGGTAGTATTATTTTCGGAGTCATTATTACGATAATCAAATATAGGTAGATAGACTCTCATTATTCGAACATAATTAAACAAAAAGAAGCATATATATATATATATATATATATATATATATATATATATATATAATCGCTTTACACATTTTTTGCATCTCTATAATCCTACAGTTGATTATACTCAGAATCTTCAAACTTTAATAGTAAGCTCCATATTGTTGAATCATTAAATTGAAATTTAATCATTCACAGATATCATTACCAAGGTTTGACTTGATAATTTCAAATAAATTGAACATTGAGTAGATTGTTATAAATAAATCAATATATTTGTAATATTCCAATGAGTAGAAAAATAAGAGTTTCTGACGTTTCATGACTTAGTGTAAGCCACTTCTTCAGAGAATGATTAACCAAATCAAAATCAATCTGAGCTTAAATAGTACAACGGAACAACAAGAATATAATGTATTATATATAGTGACGTGAAACATAAGACGTTAGTAAACTGCATGATCAGCGATGGCATTATTTTACGATGTAGCATTGTTTTCGAAAATGGTTATTTATTCTCTGATGAAGTGGCTTACACTGAGTCACGAAACGTCAGAAACTTTAATTTTTTCACTTATTGGGATATTACAAATTTATTCAATCATCCACATTTTCGTAACTACAAAGACAGTTTTGATTAAAGTACAATTCCTATTTGGTATCATTCAATTTAGTTAACTGTACAAGTCATAAATATTTACTTGAATTTAAAAAAAATCAATTTTTAAAGTTACTCTTCAGTAAGTATATAATTATTGCTATGTTTGATTAGGCTCCATGAAAAGTTTGCTTAATTTAAAGAAAAATCTTCATGATTAACTGATGTAAGCTTTGAAATATTTTTTTTCTCCCACTTGAAATGTTGAAAACGATTATCTCCCTATTCACCATAATACTTACTTATTCATGTTACCCCTCATGGACGAGCATAAACCGCTTAGCAGCATCCTCTATCCATCACAATAATAACATTTCTCAGTCCTAAAAATTATACGATATTAAATCCATCTCTCTATAAATTGAAATTTTTTATTTTCTTGTTTGTTTTATTTAAACTAAATTAACAGAATATGGATAAATCAAATAAATGTTTAGAAGATAATGTATTTTTTGGTGCAAACTTTCCAAATATCAAAGAATGTAAATGGACTACTGATTCATTGAATTCACCTTTACGTATTTCTTCATCGAATATAACTTCATATGGTCGTTTATCTAAAAATCATCCAATTGCTCCAAAAATTATTCATCATCAAACAAATGAAAATTCATCATTGATAACTCTTTCTCATTTGTCTGAAGCAAATGGAATTAAGTCAAGATCTGTTTTACATATACGTCGTAAATTAGTTTTACAATTGTTTCAAGAATATGGTTTGTTTCCATCAAGTATGTGAATTGTATTTATGAAATAAGTATAATGTATGTGTAATCATAACCATATATATTTATAAGCAGAGATAAATGATGGCTAACAGTGGGATCCAGAACTCGCGTTTCGTCTTATTTGGGACTCACCAGCTGGATATATCTGCATCCTAGAGTTGGTATTCACTCATATATATTTATTGTACAGCATAAATTCTTAAGAGAAAGCGAAGTTATAATTTAATGGAAATGATTATTTTCATATAATTATAAAAGTGCTTTTACGTTTGTTGCGCGGATATTAGCTCTATAATGAACTTTTTTCATAAACGATGGTCAGTTTTAGCGACCGCGGTTTCTGTGTTTATGATGAATTTCATCACAAACTGAAGTCAGCTAGAAACCACTTATAAACAGTTGATTATTGAGTCTACCAGGTAAAATTTATATATAGATTATTCATTAACATAGTTTTTCCACATTCTATAGGCATGAAATAAAATTCAATGGTACTACATCAGAAACATTTAACACTTATTCTTGTTTAAATAATCGTCGACTTCAAATCCCGAGCTTTCGGAAATATATTTTTTCATGTGTTCATATGTTATTGTTTTCTAAGTTAACTTTTCATCTATTTTTTTCTTGTTTTTATTTAACTTTTACATCCAGTTCCTGTGATTACTCATTTTCAACAATGTTATGCTTGCTACTTCCCTAGTCGTCAAGCCTTACAATTAAAAATACGTGAAATTCGTCGACGAATCATGCAAACCGATTCTCATCTATTTCAAAAAACTATCATCAAAGATAGTTATGATTATTTAAATAATAAAAAGAATGTTGATAATGATGAAGATGATAATGACGATGAGATTGAATTAACAAAAATAAAATGTTCATTAAGAACTATTTCAAAACATTCTATACCTATTGTTAAATCAACTAATACCTTACATGAATATACGAATAGGTGTTATAATAATAATAATAACAATACTAATACTAATTCATCTTTATCAAACCCATTAACAGTTTAAAACTGTTTATTTTCTTTACACTTAATTCTATTATGTTATCATCTTTTTTTTCATTGATTAAACTTTTCATCAATTCCATACATTCTTCAATAGGGTTAATTTTTAATCATTAATTTCTTGACTAATATTGTTCCAGTGAATTTTAACTTGTCATTTTATGTTTTTTATTTTATTTTATTTATTTATATTTTCTAATATTTATTTATTGACTTTCATAATATCTATTCATATATATATATACTAATTTAATATTGTGCTTTAAATGCACATTCTAATTAACATACACACATCATGATCTTATTTCACTTTCCTTTTTTTTCTTCCATTTCTGTTTTCTTGTTATATGCTGTTCCATTTTTAATTAGCCTAAATTTTCTATGCTTATTATACCAAAGCTTTGGTCATTCACATGTGTGCAATTAAATTATCTTTATAGAATGCCTTTTTTTCTTTCCTTTTTATCACTTAAATGTATTTCTTGTAATACACTGCTTTGTTTAATTACATATATATATATATATATATATATATATATATATATATATATATATATATATATATTACGGGGATTTTTATTCATTTAGACTGTCTTTTTCTCATCTTATTGTTCATTATAAAAAATATGTATTTTGTATCTGTTGTGAGTTGAATGTAATTAGTGACTTAAAGGAATAGAACTAAATAATTAATATTTTCTAGTTAATGTTTTTAGCGAGTTAGTTTTCTACAGGATGGGGTCACCAACCCCATGCCCAACCGTCCGCCTTTATCCGGGCTTGAGACCGGCAGTAGCCCCAGAGGGGCTCCAGGCGGAGTTAAATAACTAATATACCATTTCTAAAATCTAAATAAGCTGAAGGCATTAATTTTTAGAAATATTTCTAATAAAGTTTAAGCATAAAGAAAAAAAATATAACATGAACGATCTGAGATAGAAATAGTGATTCGTACTGTAAGTTTATACTATAAGACTATCAATCAATTAGTCACATAACATTGTCTTTACCTAGTTGTGTTGTGCTGTCCTAATCTATGATCAACTTTATTTACTAATAACAATTGGTGATCGGAAATAAGACGGAAGACTCCTAGAGTTGATCAACTAACCGAAAGAGCTACATTTAGAATAATTATGACTGAGTTTTAAATACGAATTAATCACAATATGCGAATTCAGAATTCAAGAAAAGAAAATATAATCTTAAGTATTATAGTCTTTTACAGTTTAAAAGCTCTTACTATTTATTTTTTTCACAAAACTTTCCAAAAATGAAACTGTCTACTATAAGTTACTTACTAACACATGTTACCCCACGTCGTGGAGGAACATAAGCCGCCTATCAGCGTTCATCCAACTCTGTCCCTCTCCAGTTGTTATTTATCCTTTTAATGTTCGTTTCCGACTCCCAACGCAATGTGTTCCTTGGTCTTTCTCTTTTCCGTTTTTCTTTGAGACTCCAAGTTAGCGTTTGCCTCATGATGCAGTTTGATTATTTTCGCAATGTATGTCCTATCCACTTCTAAAATCTTTTTCTAACTTCCTCCTTAACTGGAAGTTGGCTTGTTCTCTCCTAGAGTAGGCTGTTGTTGATGGTATCCGGTCAACGGACATTGAGTATCTTACGTAGACAGTTATTTATAAATACTTGTACTGTTTTGATTATTGCTGTGGTAGTCCTCGAAGTTTTAGCTCCTTACAGAGGATTGTCTTGATTTTGGTATGAAAGATTGTGACTTTCTTTCTGGCTGAAATTTGTTTTGGAGCATATTTGCAGTTGCTTCTATGTCTGTCTTTAGTGCTTCGACTGGTATATTGTCAGGTTCTGTTGCTTTCTCGCTCTTGATTTGTCTGATAGACCATCCTGATTGCTTCGATCACTGGTGGAGTGACATCTATGTGAAGGTCTGTGCATACTGCTTCGATATTAGATGGGTTCAGTGGAGCTGGTCTATTCAAGAGTTCCTCAAAGTGTTTCACCCATTTGTTCTTGGATTTCAGTGATCGGCTTGCCTTCTTTGTCCTTGGTCAGCCTATCTGGCTTACAATATTTCCCTGATAGTTTCTTCGTTGTGTCACATAGATGTCTCATTTTTCCTTCTGTTGCAGCTTTTTCCGATGTCGTTGCTAGGTCTTACACGTATTCCTGCCTGTCGGCTCTAATGTTCTCCCTCACTAGATTGTTTGCTTCTCTGTCCTTGTTCGGCTGTTGTTGATTTCCGTCCATCTGTTCTTCCTTTTTTGAATATTGTCCAGAGTTTCGGTTGAGACCCGTTCCTTATGACGATACTTCTTGAGGCCCAACACCTTAACACGTTGAATTTTATGCTTGTTTGATCTCTTTCCAATTGTTCTCCATGGTAGTTTCTTCTTTTTTAAGTAGATCTTGTAAGGCTTGGAACATGTTGTTGAGAGATATCTTGAATTGGCTGAGTTTGTCAGTGCTTCGAAGGAAGGCTATAGTGAAACCCTGTAATGCTGTTTGTTTAGTTGTCCATTACTTGCTTAGCTTCAGTTTAATCTTGTTAACCATCAGGTGGTGATCGGAACATATGTCAGTTCATCTCCTCATGTTTCCCATGTCTTCCATTGACCTTGTGAATTTTTTGGTAATACAAATATGATGTACAGCGATCTGATTGGTCCTCCCGGTCTCACATTTTTCGGATATTCCATGTACCTATATTATTGGTTATTCTTGTTGTTAGAAAGGGCATCGGCCTCGTGACGTCCGAAGAATATCGGATTTCACCATGAGGTATCATAACTGTTCTATAAGAAGATACCTCAACTAGGAGGGTAGATTTGAAATGGTTCAAATTGTTTACATATGTTATCATTCTTTTTGGCAAAGTTGCTGTTTACTAATCCCATGCCCAACTCTCCTCTTTTATGTGGGATTGGGACAGGCAGTAACCCTAGAAGGGCTACAGTCGGAGTTCGATTATAAGGCAGCTGGTTAATATATTGCCATACGGCTTTAGTTTACCTTGATAAGCTAACAAAAAGAGTACAAAAACGCTCTGGATACATAAATGACCAGATTTCTAATAGCAAACGTATCCATTATTTTTATAATCACTTCTTAAATAGTTGAGAAAAAAGTTTCTTTAGGCAGTGGTCGCCCATATACTGCATTGAATATGGAAAGGTCTTTCTCCCCTAAATTTCACCAAAATTATCTAAAAAACATTTTTTCCTTCCTTTTCGTTTCATATTCACAATAAACCAAGTACGTATTCATTTGAACAAACGACAAGAACTTTCTGAAAAAGAAATTTCTCGACTTAAATTCGTACTTTTTGCTAGTTATTATATATTTATAGATATTGTTTCCCTTCAATTTCTTTGGGATAAAAATTATTTTGGTTATAATGTTCCATTTGGACAAAATAACTCTACTTTTGTCCTTAAAAGATAGAAGCTCTCAAGGAGTATATTATATTTTAGCCGGACAGTAAAGAATTAGGTTGGTTATCACACTGGTAAAAAAATCATTTTGATCTAATTTACAATGTAGTCTGTAATCTAAGTGATCCCACTTTATATTACGCTATGTGTAGCGTTCGAAGTTACACGTCTTAAAACCTTGAATTTGTGTCTTGTGTTCATGAAAATCATTCTTATTGAGTTGTTACATTCTCTTGAAAACCAGATCACCAGGGTGCTGAGCGCCACTTTTAGATATATCAAATCGTTTGTGCTGAAACTTGCTGTTCTCATTAACAGTTTATCTTAATCTCATATAACAAATAATTTGATAATTATATGCCCAAGGGATCTTTGTAAAACAGTGCGATATAACAGGCAATAGGTTGGCCACCAGTAATAGTTTATTAACTTAGACAATATCGACTTTATATATATATATATATATATATATATATATATATATATATATATATATATATATATATCAGAGAAGTGATTTCATATTTTATGTTAAATAAAAGACTGTTTATTATGTCAAATGTGTTATTCCAAATATAATTAGTTCTAGATTGGGGTTTACTACGTGGATCGAAACAATTCCTGAAAATACACCCTTAAAATAACAACTAAAGAAAACACGAAACAACCGGATCTCTGACCTATTTTTGAATATCTGTGTTTTAGTCACTTCAAATCCAGTGTTTGTTAATTCATGTCTACCGTTGGCATAAAGCTGTCTGGTTACGATCCTTCTTCGCCTTCTGATTTACTTGGTACGCGCTCTTCTTATAGTGGTGTTCATAGTCAACCGCGACTCGACGCCACACTACAGTTGTTTGACACTTGGGGTAAAAGCACGTTTCAATTGCCTCAGAAGTCGGTGAATACCAACAACTGACCACTCTTATTTATTGAAATCAACTTTTTATACGTGAGCATTCCTGAGTTTTATGAGTGATTACGGGATCACATCTGAGGTTTCTGTATTATAAGGATTAGGACTGTAATGTGATCAGGCGTCCGCCGTATGTTTTGTGCCTAACACCATGAAATAAATTTGTAGTTGGTTTTTAAATACACTCAATAGTGTTATAGTTGACTTCCAGTCGCGGTTGACTATGATCACCACTACGGATCAACTACATGCCAATTACCAGGTTAGACCTCTCTGTAGGCCAAATATCAGAAGGCGGTTGAAGGCTGTAGTTACGATGTATTTGTTGGCGATACCGTGATATCGAAATAATACCGAGATCGTGCCAAAATTTGCAAGTGAGACTACTAGGCGTACGAGACTTCGTGCAAGATCACAAACAACGGGAGAGAGTGTTTTTTAGCACACTTAAACAAACAGGTGCAATAAAAAAATCACTGGTACAGTTTTTTTTCTAAACAGAGTTTATAAAGCACCTTTGACTGCACTGTTTTGACTTCAAAAACCACTTCATGTAAATTTTCATTGTTCCCTGGTCGCGATAGATAATCTGAGACCACATTTTCTCTTCCCGACGTGTGATCAGTCGTAAAGTTGTAGTGACCTACTTTTATGAAGAGAACGCGATATAATGATATAATGGAAACAATTATTATTATAACCAATTATACCAGTGATTGTTTTACTGCACCTCTTTGTTTAAGTGTGTTAAAATACACATTCTTCCGTTGTCTGTAACCTTGCACGAAATCGTGTACGCTCAGTAGTCCCGCTCGTAAACTTTGGCACGATCTCGGATTATTTCGATACCACGAGATCGCCAACAAATACATTTTACTACAACCTTCAATTGCCTTCTGATATTTGGTCTACGGAAGGGGTCTAACCTGGTAACTGGTACGTAGTCTTCCTGTAGTGGTGATCATAGTCAACCGCGACCCGACGCCACACTACAAAATTATGCTCCTTCGGGCTCAACGTCCATCGTGAGATTTTCCCCAAGGGTCTTTCCCTGTTTTTATCCACTATAGTGGCTCATGATCATCCTCAATGTGGAGAGTTTGACCAAATAGATACTCTTGCATTTGTCTACCGCTCAAACGATCACAGAACGCTCTTTTCCGATGGTTTAGTACTTCCGTTCACCTGGCCGTTTCCCACATCTCCATGGTTTTGCTCAGCAACCGCCCATATGCCCTAACCACTGGCGTCCATTGTTACTGTAAATGGTTAACCGGGGATCGGTAATTTCAGAGTCAGATGTTTGTCATTTAACAGCTGTTTGATTCGATCAAACACTTTCTGCTCTTTTTCCGCCC